GTTCATCTTCATCACGAAGAATCTCTGAGTTCATCTTCATCATGAAGAGTCTGAGTTCATCTTCATCACGAAGAGTCTGAGTTCACCTTCATCACGAAGAGTCTCTGAGTTCATCTTCATCACGAAGAGTCTGAGTTCATCTTCATCACGCAGAGTCTCTCAAAGTTTTCTTGTCTCACCGTTTTATGATAATGTTGCCAAAACGAGAATAAAATATTTATTAAAAAAGTGCTTTTGAGCTTTTTGTTTGATCTGATCAGGGTTAGAAATGTTCTGTTTTTCACTGGTGCTGTTGGGTCTAACTCAGAACCAGAGGCGGGTGTGGGTCAGGACCAGAGGCCAAACGGCAGTTCAGATTATCCACCCTTCTTGGAGTCCTTGGAGTGGGTACTGGAAAGTGCACCTCCTGGGGACTCCCTTGTTCTGCTGGGGGACTTCAATGCTAACGTGGGCAACGACAGTGAGACAGTGAGTTCTCAGGCTCCTCTCTTGTGGAACCAACTTCCAGTTTCTGTCCGTGAGGCTGACACATGGTCCAGTTTTAAGACTTTCATTTTTGATAAATCCTATAGTTAGGGTCGGATTGTTCTGCTGCTATAGACTTAGACTACTGGAGGACAAAGTGACCTCATGTCCTCTCTCTGCTGCCTTTACTTACTCCACTCTACCTGTTTGTAATTATTTCTAGCTTAACATGGTTTTGTCTTTCCTCGTATAGAAACCACACCTGGACCTTTCATTCTGTGTCTGTTTCTACTTCCTGTCCTCTCAAACCAGCCAGTCGAGGTAGATGTTCGCTCGTCCTGATCCTGGTTCTGCTGGAGGTTTCTTCCTGTTAAAGGGAGTTTTCCTTTCCACTGTCTCCTCTGTTCTTGCTCAGGATGGAAGATTGTGATGAAGTGAAGATTCAACACGACCTGCTGCTTCCTCAGAGAGAGAACTTTACTAAATCCATCCATCCATCATCTTTACCCACTTCTTCCATTTTGGGTCACGGGGGTCGCTGGTGCCCATGTCCAGCAATCACTGTGTGAGGGGCGGGGGACACCCTGGACGGGTCTCCAGTCCATCACAGGGACACATAGAGACAAACGAGACAAACAACCATTCACTCTCTCACTCACACCTAGGGACAATTTAGAGTTACCAATCAGTCTAACATGCATGTTTTTGGACTGTGGGAGGAAACTGGAGTACCTGGAGAAAACCCACGCATGCACGGAGAGAACATGTAAACTCCACCCAGAAAGGCCCCTGGACCGGGGTTTGAACCAGGGACCTGCTCGCTGAGAGGCAGCAGCTCTACCAGTTGCACCACCGTGCTGCCTAAAAAGGACCAAGTATTAATATTAAAAGAGTTTTAATATTTACTCCCAACAGTAAAGTCACAGGTCAGCAGTGATGGGAACAGGTTACAGACATGTACAGAAATTAAAATATGAACAGCCCGTTATTAGAATTACAGTTTCTGCTCTCAGTCCTGGAACACCAGAACCGAACAGGTCCGACTTTTAGAATATTACTACTTGGTATCAGATTTGATGAGTTTAATTCAAACTGAACCAGAAGTTTCTTCTTCCGACGTCTCGTTTCAGCTGAACTTTCTGTTGAATGTGTGACGGATAGTTAATGTCTAAAACGATCACAGAAGTTTATATTTCAGCTAAAAGCAAAGGATCTGCTGGTGTTACAACTGAACCATCTTTGTAGTAGAGTTAGAGAGTTATTGCATCGTGTTCAGAAGTTAATAATCTCTTTAACGTGAAGCTAGCAGCTGAGCTGGGAGCTCCACAAACTGCAGAACTTCATGCTTCAGCTGCAGACCAGATGTCCTCACCATGAACAGAACGTGGAGTTATTTCTGTTAGCAGCCACGGTTAGATCTGGTTTAGAGGAGCGGTGGAACCTCCAGCTCTGTCTGAGCTCACAGCGTGGACGGTACTGGTTGGATCTGCTCTGATGGGCCGCTCGGTGCCGGTCCTGCTGCAGACCTGCTCACGTCTCCGTGGGTCAGCGCCACCATGGGTAAGGCGCTCAGCAGGGCCTTCTCCAGCTTCTGCTCCAGAGCGTCCAGCCGACGGTCCATGTGCTCCTTCAGCCTCCTCTCCATCTCCTCCAGGCGGCGCTCCATGGCTGAGTCCAGCTCCCTGCAGAGTGGAGGAGACAAAACATTTAGACCGTGGACCACCGGGTGTGGCTCTTCTTACAGCTGGGAGCTGCTGAACATTTAAAACATTTGATTCTCCAGCTGGCAGGCTGAAGGAGGAGGACTGCAGGTCCTGGTTGTCCCTGAAGACTCCTGAAGAGTGAGAGAGTTCAGGGAGCCCAGGAGGTTCTGGTACACCGTTTGAAGGCTGTGCCTGGTTTGGGTGGGGAACTGCGGACCTGAACTAAAGATATTGTCAGATGGTGGACCACTGAAGTCCTGAGGCAGCAGAACTCCAGGAGTGGAGGTGGTTCTGGATGTTGTGAGACCAGCATAGCTTCAAACTTCTCAGCCTCCCTGGAAAGTCCGCTCCAGGATGTCAGAAGGGAGGCTTGGACCAACTGTCTTTGGTCCTGCTCATGGACCGGGTCTTCATCTCAGCTAGTCTTTAAAGGTGGAGAGGTGAAAACACCGAGGACCACGTGGACTGGACCATCTATGTTTTGTGGACCTGGAGAAGGCTTCTGGTTCTGTTCCCCAGTGCATTCTGTAAGGGGTTCTGCAGGGTACTGTGGACGGACTCCTCCTGGACCCGTTACCGTTGGACCTGACCCCAGATAAGTGGAGGATGGATGGAGATAATTCCTGGAGTAAGAAGAGCTCTAAAGTTTAAATTGAAAGATTTAACACGAGTTTTAAGGAAACGTGTCGCCTGAAACGGTTTAGAGAAAGAAAACAGAAGATTCAGGTTCAAACGAGTTCTAAACTAAAGTCACATTTCACTAAAAACACAACAATTTTTGGTCCTTACAAGTTCAAGCAGAACAAAGTCCAGTCAAAATGAACCAATCCACAGAAGAGTCCAGAAAACCTGAACGTTTCCCGAGTTTGAAGGTCCTAATGAAGATCTAAGGGCAGATGTTCATCGTCTGGATCTACCTTCGAGTACTGAGCTGTTTGTTGATGAGGCTGAGCTGCGCTCGTCTCCTGGACATGGAGTCAGAATCAGCTGACTCCTTCAGCCCACGGCGCCGCTCGGCTCGGACAAAGAGCCTCTTTATTCAGCTGCAGCTGCTGGAGGTCCGGTCCGCTGAGCCCGAGGCCGTCTGGAACGTTTGAACGAGTCACACAACCATGGTAAACAAACCGTTGTTGTTGTGAGCCTCCTTCCTGTAAACATCCCTCTGATAAACAAACAAACCATCCTGACGTTTACAACATAAAACCTGTTGGTGCTGCAACAGCCTAATGTTCTCGAGAAGTTTCTTCTTGGTCTGAACTGAACTCCTACCAACGCGTTTCATCTGGCTCTGAAACAACCAGGGGTCAGCCCTTCATCGGTGCCAAGCAGCTCTGGGATCAGTGAACACAGGAACAGGAAGTGGAACAGGAAGTGGAACAGGAAGTGGAGAGAAATGTCTGGGTGTGAGCAGCAGAACATCATCAGTAAAAAATGTGACCTCAGAGAACCAAAAAAGTTCTTTTATTGAAGAAACGAGTCTGCTTCATCCACACCTGACTGGTTTCAACAAGTTCCTGTTGAATCTAAAGAAATGACGATCTCATAGATTTATCTGAGGTGGGTCCAGCTTCCTGTCCCTCCTCGCTGAATCCACTCACTGCTGGGGAAGGAGTGAAATCTCTTTTATTCCTGAGCGTCCTCAGAGTGCAATTTGTTCTGCAGTCAGTCAGTCAGTGAGTCATTCGGTCAGTGAGTCATTCGGTCAGTGAGTCATTCGGTCATTGAGTCATTCAGTCAGTGAGTCATTCAGTCAGTGAGTCATTCGGTCAGTGAGTCATTCGGTCATTGAGTCATTCGGTCAGTGAGTCATTTGGTCATTGAGTCATTCAGTCAGTGAGTCATTCGGTCAGTGAGTCATTCGGTCATTGAGTCATTCAGTCAGTGAGTCATTCAGTCAGTGAGTGAGTGAGTCAGTCAGTGAGTGAGTCAGTGAGTGAGTGAGTGAGTCATTCGGTCAATGAGTCATTCGGTCAGTGAGTGAGTCAGTCAGTGAGTGAGTCAGTGAGTGAGTCATTCGGTCAGTGAGTCATTCAGTCAGTGAGTCATTCGGTCAGTGAGTCATTCGGTCAGTGAGTCATTCAGTCAGTGAGTGAGTCAGTGAGTCAGTGAGTGAGTGAGTGAGTGAGTCAGTGAGTGAGTCATTCGGTCAGTGAGTCATTCAGT